CCCCCCCCAATTCCCGGGGTCCCCTTCCTTATGGTCAGGCTTGAGGTTCTTCATCGATATGATATGAATTAAGCTTTGTAACCACAATTAGCAGCCCCGTTTTTGCAGCAGTGTATGACCACTTCGTGCCTGGCAGGGAGAACATCCTCAGGGCGCTGGCAGCGGCCCTGCCCGGACCACGACCCTTGGCAGTTGTGCGAGGGCGGAAAGATGAGATGGTGGCAATTTATTACGTGCATGCATACACCTTCCAGGGGGCTCTCCTGGAGAAGGGCCTCTGATTCGAGCAAGACAGAGATGCTGAAGCTAAATGAGCTCCCAGCTGGCACCGACAGCCGGGTGGTGAGTGAAGCTGCGGGAGAGCTGGGACAACTGGGCTCGTATCCCAAATCAAAGCTCTGTGCTCACATCATCCCTCACAGCAAAGAGCTCAGCTCTGTCCGTGAACGGGTGTTTCAAGGCTGCTGGCCCCTCAGACTGCTTCTGGACTGAGCCTATTCCTTGTCTTATTCTTTTTGAGTCCTTACAGAAATCTTGCTGTGACCCAGACGTGGGGTTACCTTTGAGTTGACCTTCCAGGACGGTGGCAGTTCACGATTGCATGCATCCTACCTTGGGGGTAGGTCGGTATCGCCGCTCCTTTTCCAATGTAACCTTCAGCTTGCTTGCTTTTGCTTAGCCCGGCGTGAGTCTCTGGCCCTGGCTCTGCAAAGCCCGTCTCATGGGGTCCGTTTAATTCCCTCCCGCTGCATTACTTCCCCCCCCCTCGCAGTGGCTGTGCACTGGGCTGTGCACACACGCACAGAAACGCATACGTGGCAACGATATATGCACATACACTCTTATACCACTTGAAACGAGTCAGGGAATGGCTGTTTACGGTGCTAGAGATTTCTTACTATCCATGCTAGGGATGAGATGACATAGTAAGACCAATAAACTCCACCTTTGTAGTCAGTTGTCTTTAAAGCAGAAGAGGGGCGCTGGCCAACGCCTACGTTTGGGTGCTCCGGGTCCCCGGGGTGCAGGGAGGCAGCTGCCCCCACCCGCCGCCAGGAAGGTGGGACCCGGGCACGGGGGGACAGCCGGGCATCCCAGCCCCGGGTATCCCCCGTGCCTCAGTTTCCCCCCTCCCCGTGCCAAGGGGACACGGACGCTCCCTCCCCCACAGGGCCTGCGGGAGAGCCGACGCATCCACGTCTCTGAAGTGCTCTGAAAATGGAAAGTACCCAAGTCCCGAGTCGTGGTACGCAGCCGTCCACCCCGGGAGGAATAAAGTGGCCCAGGGCTGCAGGCAGAGGTTTGGAAGGTGATTGCGTGGCCGCGGGGCTGAGCCAGAACCCCAGGGCTCAGCACCCCGGCTGCCCTCCCGGGCAGGATTCGCTCCCCCTGCGCAGCCTGGGCCACCTTTGCTCGTGCCGGGGGCGGGGGCAGACGGGTGGGGAGCTGGCGCGGTGTCGTGGAAGGACTTTCCATCACTAACAGAGCCTTGTCCGGTTCCCTTCGGTCTACCGCGTGCATTTCATTGTCAACTTGAGGTTGTTGTTGTGCAAAAGAAGTGATTATGAAAAAAAAAATTAAAAAAAAAAAAACAAATAAAAAGAAAAAAAAAAAAGAAATAAACTTGGTATGAAACCATATGTGTCCGTCTCTCTCCATAAATGGATTGTTTTCGTCCTGAGGCTTCTCTTTGTATTGTGAGAATACTAATAAAATGCATTAAACAGAAAACTGACCTAAAGATTTAACAAAACAGACTTTAAGCATCTGCAGGCTACATGAGCACTTTGCACCCAGCATAGAAGAGGCAGAGACCCACAGTTTGTCACCATTCTCAGAGGAAAAAAAAAAAAAAAATGCTTGAATAAGGGTGCTGCTGACATCCCCCAGGGCTGGAGAGGTGCGGGGGTATGCCAAGTCTTTGCAGAGGAAGGTTGAAAAAGATAAAAGATAATTACAAACACCATCAATCCAGTTCTGGAAAACACGTGAGCTTCTTTTTTAAAAGAAATCCAGTGCTTGCTTAACGAGCTTTTCCTGAGATAGGATCCAGCCTTCGGGCCGTGGTTCCCAAGGAGAGGGGCCCCTAACCCAGGAGACCTTGCAGGGCCAACGCTCCGAATCACATCCCGGGGGCCACATACACAAAAATGCCCCAAAAAGCTGCGACTGAAAACACTTTGTGCTCCACGGGGACACCTGAGGGGAAGGTGCCTGGCTGCTTCCCCAGCTGCTGAGGAAAGGATCCCCCCACCTTGGTGTCTCAGCCCAGGAGGTGGGAAATTTTAATTCCCAGGGCAGCTCTTCCATCGGAGCGGGGAGGACAGCGCCTGTGCCTGATGCTCTTCCCATCTGGGCGTGGGGACACAAACAGGAATTCTATTTTTGCAGCGGGACCTTCCTGATTTTAGAGATAACGACCTCGCGGCAAACGCAGCACCGCTCGCTTTTTGTCCGAGGTTTGCTCTAAACCCCTAACCCGGGCTCTGAAAAAAACAAAAAGTGGATGTAGTTCAGCAAGCCCCTGCGTTTGCCCCAGGAAAACGGGCACAGCACCTTGGTGCCACAACATTCAAGATCTGTTAGAAAGACCAAGTGTGGTCACCCTCCAACTAGTTAATTTAAGTCAGATCCTTCATCCTCCTGAGATCTGAAGGAGAAAAAAACCACAGCGGAATGGGATGTGCTGGGGAGAGGGGGGGACAGGAGGAGCAGGAGGCGATGCAGAGGCTCCCACCACCCCCAAGAGCCTCTGCCCACACCTGCAGCCCTGTGGGCAGCACCGGAGCGGGGGGCTTAAAGACACGATACTAAAGTTTGGGACCAGATTGTAGCACGCACCAAAAAGCTGCTTCAAAGATCAAAAGCAGGCCAAGAAAGCAAAATATCCAAGTAACTTTTGGAAGGATCCCTACAAAGTGCTCTTGAGCCGTGTCTGAACGCGGGGAAGAGAACAGCGGCTCTGGCAAGGTAAATGCAGAAACACACCTGAGCAGGCAAAAAAAAAAATATTAAAAATATGCAGGGTGATTTGCTAAAGGTTTGAAGGAAAACAGGCCGTCCCTTCTCAGCAACCTCACTGGCATTAGGGCTGAGAGGAGCCTGGCACCTGGTAAAGACGGTGAGGCAGGGAGCAGATAAGGTGCCAGGAGGGAAATTCTGGGGAGGAGCCCAGGGAGGTTCCCGTTGGCCTGGGGTGTGGTGGCAAAACCAAGGTTTTGCTTTCCAAGAGGCCACAGGCTGCCGGGAAAACTGGAGCAGGGCAGCGCCGCTGTGGGTTTGCCACCTTCTTACCGTTTTTAAGCCATTGGGCGCCGCAGGGAGCCGGCGTGGTGGGGGCAGAGGGGCCTTTTATCTGCCTCGTCCAGCCCCACGTAGGACGCAGCTGCCAGGGCAGGTCCCCGAGGAGCCGCTGCCAGAGACGTTGGGAGAAATACAGACAGGCTTCCGCGGAAAAGGGCGTCACCGTGTCTAGAGGGTGAATGAAGATGGCTGGTGACCGTTGGTTATCTTGGAGAAGGAAAAGAAATACAATTCCTCGTGAAATATCACTTTGATGAGCATTCGCCTGGGTAAACTGGAAAGCAAAAAGAGCTGGCGGCTGGTTACGGGGCAGGGATGGTGCGGATGGGGAGGAGGGGGAAAGAAAAAGAAGAGCCTTGGGGAAAATAAGCATTAAATAAGCCACTACAAATCTATCAGCCGGGTTCATTAGAAATTAATGTAGAAAATACGGCTAACCAGAGCAAACTGGGGCAGCCACACCCAGCGCCAGGCAGAAAAAGCCACTCGCCAAGTAGCTGCGAAAAGCCCGAAGAACTAAAACGCACCGAGGGTTTCGGAAACGAGACACGGTGTTTCAGAAAGAGATTCACGGGCCTCGGGTCTGGCTCTTCCTTTTTCAGAACGTGTTAACCACCCCCACTCGCAGAAAACAGCTCAACGTAGGAAAAGTCCTCCCCGAAAAAATCACTGCAGGCTTTTGGAAGCCCTGAACCCCCCCCCCGCACTGGGCACAGCCTGCAGGCTCAGCCCAGAAACGGCGTCAGAATCGACACCAAAACCCTGTGAGGATTCGAGGTGGGGAAACCCTCAGCGTCCCGTTTAGTGCCGGGATGCAGCAGCACCTCTTGGGTGCAGCAGTTTGGGGGACGGGTCCGGGGACTCCGCCACGGACAGGGAATCGCAGACCCCGGCTCAGAGCCCCAGCACATCGCACCCCCCCGGCTCTAGCCGCCCCCCCCTGGAACAACAGCACTTCTCTGTCGCTGAAGGGCCTTTGCACTGGAGCTTTGCAAAGCTCGGGGACAGCCCGCAGACATCTTGGGCAGAGGGGTTTGAGAGAGAACGACCGCACGGCAGGCGCAGCACCGCTCGCCTTTTGTCTGAGGTTCGCTCTGAGCCCCTAACCCAGGCTCCGAAAAAAAGCGGCCGCAGCTGAGGAAACCCCTGCGTTTGCCCCAGGAAAACAAGGCTCGGCACCTCGGTGCCACAAAATTCAAGATTTATTAGAAAGGCCAAGCGTGGTCACC